TCATTGAACCACAATACCAATAAGTGATTAATAAAAGTCAAAAGACCAAAGAGGTCATCTTAATACCAAAAAAAAAACAACAACATAGCTAAAATATGTACTATATAAAAAAATAAAAAAAATAAATATATAAAAAAACTTAAAAATTTTAATGAGTATTAAAATATAAATCTAAATAGAGTAGTAAAAAGGATTAATCAAACTAAAATGTTAGTAAAAGAAACGAAATTTTAAGAAAAATAAAAAAAAAACTTAAAAAATTATATAAATAAATTTAAGAATATTTTAGTATAATATTTTAGAATAGCTATATATAATTTTTTGATATTAAACGTTACTTTCAAACCAATATAAAAGACCACTTTTAAGCACTCATAAAGTAATTAGAAGATGTTATACCTAGAAACAGTATTGTCAAAATTGTGTAAAATTATACAATAAACTTAATAAAAGATGTTAGTTTGATTATCAAAGATTTAAAAAAAGTAAATTTAATCTGTAATTTGCATAAAGAATAGTAATCAATTAAGTAAAAAATAGATAATTAATGTTTTTGATTGAAATTAGTTTTTCTAAAATTAAATTAATTTTTGCTAAAAATATTTGCTTTAAATTAAAATCATCTAAAGAAAAGCATTCTAGTTATAATTATTAAAGAAATAAGGCATTTCAGACAAATTTCAGTTTTTTTTGGCCCTGATACAACATATAATTAATAACTAATCATGTTATTTTTAGGTTCATATCAGAACTATAAGAACTATCAGTAAAATACCATCATAGACTCAATAACGTTATCAGTTCTGATAATGAATGGAATGATATGATTCAAGCTATTAATTAGTACCATATCAAAAAACTGTTATATTTGCCTAATTTCGATTAGGTAAATAATAATAAAAATATTTTCGGGTTAAAAATCAATACATAATCTCATATCCGAATATAACTTATTTATAAACTAAAGAGTTTTTTCGAATCGGTTTTTAATTTTAAAGCCTAATTCTCGGCTTTTAAGTTTGACTAAATCCGACTATATAATCAATCTTAAATTTTAATTTAGATTTTGATTAAAAATTTTGATCGCTAGTTAGGAAATGTGGTAAGTTAAATATTATGATTTTCTTAACGGCTAATAAAAGTACAAGAAATTTAATAACTACAAAAATGGATATTCCTTTTCTGAACATGGGTTGAATTTAAAAGGTAAAAATTTAAATTCCCAAAATAACATTTATTGCGTTGAATTAAACTAACGAACGAATAAAATCTTGGCAATATTTAGATTAAGTTGACTATTTTATAGAGCATAGTTTACATATTTTAAATTTATATTACTTCGTTAAGTAGTCTGATCAGATTGTAAGAACTTAAATCAAACCACGGTTTTTAATGTACTGACTAGATAGTTAAATTAGCTAATTAACTACGCCTCCCGGCGTCCCTCTTTAGAAGGGTGATAAAAAAAAAAAAATAGCTAATTAACATCCCTACTTAGTATACTAAGATTGATAAAGAGATTGATAAGATGGAAAATATTAGCTACTTTGAGATATTTACTAAAATGAGAAATTATATTGTTGTGTATGGTATTACGTAGTCGCTAGCCAAACTATTGCTATCTATAATATGCAAACTATTTGTACTCACTAAAGAGATAGACTTATAAACGTTACCGTTTGTCGGAATATAATATAATGAATGTCTCCGTTAATTGACACAAAAGGATTAATTGCGAAAACAGTGATCTATTTTGTCCATAATACATATTTCTAAAAAAAATTGGTACCATTATCTTACCGATAAAAAACATCTAATAAGTTTATTTTACTATTTTAATCGTAATGAAATCTTCATGCTTTGATGATTTGAATAACCGCTAAACATTATCTATGATGATATCCTTATTTGTTAATCTCCACACTTGGAAATGTTTCTACGGATAAACGTTATGTTTACTATTACAACCAATGGGTGACAAACAAATACAAAACAAGATATACGACTCATCCGGTTTACTGTATAACGCCGTTTAAAGTTTACATTTTTAAACATACTTGAGAGGTCCTTTGCGAGAAGAAATCTATAGTTGTAAAGAATACAATAAAAATCATCCAAGATTTTTTTTTTTTTATTAAAAACGACATAATTAAGTTAATAAAAATTATTTCAACAGATTGGCTATATTTTGCCTATACAACAATTCTGTTAACATAGTTTTTTTAAAAAATAATTTAGCCGTTATTTTAAATTTTACATGGCGTTCTTATTTAGAATTTGGCGCCTAATGTTTAAATTTTCAATATATTCTATTGACCAATCATGATTGATTATGTAATTTTAAACTTTTGATGAAATTTGATTCTTTTTAAAAAATGAATTCTGTTTCGTACTGTAAAATATATTGTTTAAAATAAAAAGTCAATACTAAAAATTTGCTAAAATTTTATATGGTAATTTCTTATTTATGCATATACCGCTTAAATACTGGCTAGCCTTACCCGTTTTTTATACTGAAATTTTTTACGAAAATAGGAATAAGTGATAAATATTTTTATTTGTTTTCAATTTTCATGATAAATATATCGCGTAATCGCGTCTCATAAAAGTAATTTTACTTTTTTATTTCTTTGGCGCTTTTTAATTATAAGTTGATCAATTTCTTCATGATTAATAAGGATAATCGCGAAATTTATTATCGCGGCTGAAACTGAAAACGGCTGAAAGTGGAAATCGGGTGTCTTTATTTAAAATTATGATGCTTAGTAAACTAATTATACTCTTTTATTAAAATCAATCATACGCATTAACATAATTATTTTATTAAAAAAAAAACCAACAAACTGCGCCCCAAAAACTTCTATAAATTTCGGTTGTTTCCAGCTTCAGCTTTCAGTCTTTGTGCTGTCAAATTTATATTTTACCTCTTTACTTTTAAATAATTTTTCTGAATTATTTATTAAAGTTCATTTTTTGCGCGATGAATACTGAAATAAAGTACTTGCTCGAAAAAAACATTTCAATCTACCCCCATAACTATGATGCTAAATACCTGGTTCGGTACTTTTATGATAAGGCTCCCAATATAAGTGATAAAGATGTGTATAAAGAGGTAGTTAAACTTAAAGTTGGCAAATTTGGAAATTATAGTGATGACATTGTCAATATGTTCGGGGAGCTCTTATGGCTTACGGTGTGCGAAAGTGAGAGAAATAATATAAAAAAAGAATATAAAGATATAACGGACCAAATTATTGAAATCCTAATCCCGGCAACTGGTGAACGACCCCTGGGTCAAATTTTCAACAGGGGCATTGTTGATTGTTTTCCACAATCGACGAATGTTAATAACCGGCCTAATCATAATGATATGATAAGTGGCTTTGCGCCAACAAACTGGTAAATGTATATACAGTAGAACTCAAAAAATATGTGTATGTGGGATTATATCAATTATGATTCTTCTATGACTTCAAAGCAATATATATATATATATTTATAAGAGTAGAATATTTTTTTCGCAACAACTTTATTAAAATTCCAAGTGGGAATTTCGTTGTACTTAAGATTATGATATACTTAGAATTATGGTTAAAGTCAAGAAATTAAAATTATGGTTAAAAATTTTAGTCAAATAATCTTTGTTGGTGCCAAGTTTTTTTTTTTAATTTAGGGCACTGAAAACACCTATGCAATATTTAACTTAGCATTTATTGCTTGTGGCAATACATCGCCTCTTATTTCTTTATCAGATTCAGGGTCAGGGTACAATTTTAGACCAAGGTTAGAAAGGTCCAAATTTAGTTAGGTTTAGGTTTTGGGGTTCTGAATATTTTTACTTAATACCTCAACATGTGTTGGCTAGTATCCCTGGCGTTATCGCCACTAGCGATAAATGGCAATATTCTTAAATATTTATGCTTATAAACTTATATATGTATATGAAATATAAGATATTTTTAATTTATGAGAGTATATAAATTTTATACACTATGATACATAATTAAAACATGAATGTGACTACATATCTTTACCTGATTAGTTAGGAAAAGTTTGTCAATTAATTCTACTAATTGCTATAACACCTGAACATGACTCTTGCGGCATTTGAGTAAGTGACTAAACCGTGTCGTTGTGGGACCCGAATGGACCTGAGTCCATCGCTTAATTCGGGGGTCCATTAAAGCCAGGTACATTCATAAGTCCATCGCTTAATTCGGGGGTCCATTAAAGCCAGGTACATTCATATAATGATCTACATGCTGCTAACCCTAACTGAATTTAAAAAAAAAGTAATCCTAACTGGACAGTACTTGGCTTTAACGTTTCCCAATTTTAGGTAGGTGATCGACATAGCGATAACTGTTAATTCGTTACTGCGCCACACCGATCACCTGCTTCAACAAGCTTCCGGCGTTACCCTACTGCTCACAGAATACAGTGTATACAACCGGTAAACCCATTTCTAGTAAAAGATTGACACGCCCGTTCTGTGCCACATCGATCATCATTGTATTCCACGTGCCTCAATTTTTTTAGGCGAAAGCTACGGACACAACACTCGCGTGATAAATCCAGCCAGTGTTGTTCATATAAACCTCCTAACCTTAATTCTAGTGATAATTCTCATTGTTATCTGAAATGTTGTGTCCGTTGCTTTTCACTATTTTTATATCATCAAAAAATTGCTAGCATGTGATTTGTGTGTAACGTAGACGAGTAGGAAAATTTAAAACGGACGTTCTTTTTGCAATTTAACTATATATCTTACTAACAGCTAATAAAAAAAATAAATTTTAATTCTAACTTAAATAACAATGAAGATTTTTGGTGTGCTACAAGCACTACACATGCCGTAATTTTTGGTGGCGATACAGGGAACTTTAGGTGACATTCATATATGGAAAAATAGACAGTTAAAATTGAAACATTTAATAATTTTAATATTTTAAAATTGTATAGCACTAAGATTAACATTAAAAGTTAAAACTATATGTTATTAAATGCATAAAATTTAATTTATCAACTTGTATAAATTAGATGAACGTATGTAGAGTACTTTATTCCACATATATCTAATAGATTTGTTCAAACCCGTTAATCTTCTAAAATAATAAATTTGATCTTTTAAAATAAGTAAATCTCATTAAACAACATATAATTAATATTCAGAGAATTTATAATGAATGTGAAGTGTGATAAAATAATCAAAGAATTAATAATTGTAACATTTAACTTATTATTTGTTATACATGATGCGTGAATTATTGAACTTTCTAATTTTTCTTGGAATTAATGAAATTTGACTTTAAAGTTAATATTTATAAAATAGTAATTAGGTGTTATTAGGGCTATATTGTGCCATTAATGACAATATGTATTTATAGCTTTACGGATTCGTAATTTGCCTGTACAAAATTTGCATTATTAGTTTCTATTATTAAAGTGGTAATTTTCAAATGTTTATGATCCTAAACACTTACCTTAATGATATGGTGTTTGTACGCGATTTGTTTAATTATTTTTCGAGTCAAAATGTTGATGAGAATTTATTGCGAAATAATTTGAAAAACTCACCAACTAATATCTAATTATTTTAGACTGTTTAACATTAGAGTTGTATATATAAGTGTTTGAATTATTAGAGATTTATAGCAAAATAATGTTTTTTAAATTTTTTTATAATCTTATACTTACGTCTTGAAAATATCGAAATGGTACAGCCGTTTGAATCACCTAGAACATGGAATGTACATATATTACATATTTTAATTATTTAAATGGTGTTGCTTCAAGAATATTAATCTCAAAATGATTGTTACTCTAAATGCTCACCTCCTAATTAATTATTTGTGAATTAACGTGAATTTCGACCTTAAAAAATAGTGTTTAACTTTAACTACTCACCTTCTGATTAATATGTATATTGTGATTATTATTTCTTTTTGAATGATTAATATGGAATTGACTTTATAAATAGTTAATATGAAATACTTACGCGCTAGTAATATAGTTGCGAATTATTTAGGGTTATGTTGTTTATTTGAATTTAATTTAAAAATGGCTCTGTTCTAAACACTCACCAACTAGTAATTTTTGTACGTATATAGATTTTTTAGTCCAATTAATTTAGTTAACAAAATTCATTTTTCAAAAATTGGTTAACACTAAATACTTACAATCTTTTAATTTAATATGAATTGTTTAGATTAGTGGTATTTATTTAAATTAATGAGATTTTCATTTAAACATTCGAGTAACTTCAATACTCACAAGCTGATAATATAGAGTTTAAGTTATTTAAAGCTGTATTATTGAGTTTTGATTTTTGATTTTAAAAATTATCATGACTAAATACTCACATGCTAGTAATACATTATATGTAGAAATTAATTAAAATTTAAGTTGCTTGTTTCTGAATAATAATTTAATTGTAAGTGAATTATTACTTAAAAATACTCACCAACTGATAATTTGGTATAAATTAATTATTAGAATTTTTACTATTTTAAATTGATAAAAATTTTTTAAAAATGGCAGTACTCACAGGCTGGTAAAATGGATATAAATTTTTCAGAATTTTGTTGTTTTTAAATCATCAAACTTTAGAGATGTTTGTAAGAATAATATCCTGATCCGTTGAAAATTAGCGAAAACAAAAGTTTCCGCTTATTTACATACGGATCAGGGTATTATTAATTAATCCTCTCATGGTCTTGACACAGGGTCGTGGGAATAATAACTTTAAATACTTACATCCTGCGAATTCATATAAATTGTTTAAAATAGTGAATTATAATGAGAATTTGATTTTAAACTGGTTGCAGTTTTAATACTCACATACTAACAACATTTTATGTATGCGTATATAGATAATTTTGATTTATATTGGTTTTTGAATTGGAAAGCTTTTGATTATAGAACTTAAAATACTTACATGCTAAAAATGCAGAAGGTTTAAGAATTATATTATTTTTCTTTTTGATTAAAAAAAAAGGTGGTTGAATACTCACAATCTAATTAGTAGTGATGCACACATATGAGAATTGCTTAGTATTATGTTTTAAAAATCAATTTGTCACCGGCGATTACTGTTAACAACCAAAATTATATATAGCACTGAATATTTACCCGCTGGTGATTGTATTTATACATAGATAGGTTAACTTAGAGATATATTGATATTTTGAATTAATAAGAATTTTACTATACTTACCATCTGTGCAATTTATTTATATAAATGGATCGTTTAGCTTAGGTTATTTATTATTGAAACATTTACGAATCAAATGCTTACCCGCTAGTTTATATGGATATATACGGATTTTAAGTGTTACATTATTTATCTTAATATTAAATTAAATAAACTTTTAAAATTTAACGGTAAATACTTACACCCTAATAATGTGTGTATGCAATTTTATTATTAGCAGTTCTCCGTAAATTAACGAGGATTTTGAAAAAAAAAATTTAAATACTCACGCCCTAATAATAATGTTGATATTTAGAGTTATTTATTTTTGAATTAATAAAAATTTGGTCAAAATGTTCATGAATACTCACCCTCTGAAAATTTGTGTTGATTGTTTAGAATCTTTTTTATTGATTTTAAATTTACGAGAAACCCATTTTTTTATAATTTTTAATACTTACAGGCTAAAATTTTTATATATATGAATGTGATTGTTAAGATTAGAGTTATTTGAATTAAAATTATTAAAATTTATATTTCATTTATGACTCTGTATACTCACAATCTTATATTTTTGTGCAATTGTTTAGAATATAATTTGTTTTTTCAAGCAAACTTAATTTCAGGAATGAAATGTTTATTATTCTAATACTCACGTTCTAATAATATATATGTAAGTTAAATAAGCATGTTTTTATCTTAGAAATGTAAATTATTTTAAATACTCACGTCCTGGTAATTTATATATATCAAAATCGTATTTGAAAATTTCGGTTAACGAATTTTTATTATAGAAAAGGCAGTTTTAAATACTTACGAACTAATGAAATTTTTATGAGATTGTTTAGAATTATTTTATTGAAGTTTTAATTTTAAAATTTTTTATAACTTTAATACTCACAGTCTAGTAATGTGGTATATATATATATGTTTTAGTCATTTATGATTGATCAAAAAACTTTTTGGATCTTATGGTAAAAGAGATACTTACGTTCTAATAATATATATGGATTTATTAGGATTCATTTGTTTTGAATTGACGAGAAATTTGATTTTATAGATTTTTAAATACTCACCGACTAATAATTTTATTTATAAATGTTGGAATTATTTTTTTATGAAATAACTTTTTATTTTTTAAAATGTTTGACCTGAAATACTTACAACCTAAATATACATGGATTGATCAATTAGTTTTTCTTTTCAAATTAAGAAAATTTTGACTTATAACTATAATTCCAACACTTACTCTCTGGAAAATTGTTAAAAATACGTTGATTATTTAGAACCACGTTATCATTCTTTGAGACTTTTTAATCTGAAAACTTATAGCATTAAAATACTTACGAGCTAATAATTTTGTTTTTATGTTTCAAGTTAGATTTAATTTTAAGAATATTATACCCATAAATTTTTAAATACTCACCAACTATTATATTGAATTTTTATATATATATTGTTATAAAAATTGATCTTTTTTCAACCAATAAAGAAATTTGACTTTATAAATGTCTAAATACTCACCAACTAATAATTTTTATTTATGCATATTGATTGTTAGTATTGAAAATTTTAGATTTGTATAAAAATGGTTATTGCTTTAAATACTTACGTGCTAATCATGCGACATGAATATACTGATGTTTAGTGTTTTTGAATTTCAATTTTATAAACGTTCGTAATTTAGATACTCACTCACTGGCAATTTTTATTTATATAATATCAATTGTTAGTTAATTTTTGAATTTGAAAAGAATTTGAATTAAAAATACTTCAAAGTACTTACGTGCTGAAAACATTCATGATTATGGATGAGTTATTTGAAAATTTGTTATAATACTGTTTATGATTTGAATACTCACACTCTAATTATATAAATATTGGTTTAGAATTATGTTATTTTGCGTTGAATTAACTTTAAATACTTACGAACTAATAATATAATATAATGTTAATTATTTTTAAAAAACTTGATTTAAAATTACATATGTGGTAATACTTACAGGCTAATAAATTATAATTATATGTTTAATTGTTTTTAATTATCGATTATTTAATTTTCAATTGTTTATTGCTTTAATACTTACATCCTAAATAGTATGGAATTCGTTAAGTCATTTTTTTTAGAAATGTTGATTTGTAATTTCTTATTATTTTAAATACTCACGAGCTAATAATAGTAATATAAATGCGGATGAATTATGATTGAACTATGAGTAAAATTTCAAAACAATTATGATTTTAATACTTACGGGCTATAATTTCATACAAATTACGTTATTTTGTTAAATTCATGAGAATTTCAACTTTATTAATTGTAATTGCTTACATACTGTTCGTATGCATTGGTATATTTGTAATTTAGTTAGTGTTATATAGATTATTTGTTTCTGAGTTAATGTAAATTTGATTTTATAATTATAGCTACTCAGATACTCACAGACTGGAAATTTTATGTTTAATGCGTAGATTATTTAGATTTGTGTTAACGTTAATCGTTTTAAATCCGATACTAAACCATTTACGTATAGCACTAAAAATACTTACAGGCTGGTGATCAATTGTGTAATGATTAACATTAATGTTTGTTTTTTTTTTTAAAAAAAAAACACTGATGATTTCGTAAGTACTCACCCCCTGTAATTTTGCGTACGTATAAATATATGTGAATTTTTATACAGTTATAGCATTTGTTTTTAAATTCTGAAAATTTAAATACTTACAAGCTAATAATTAAATAATATTCGAATTATTTAAAACCATTATTTACTTTAAAGAAAATTTTAGGTTTAGAAATTTATGGTTTAAATACTTACAAGCTAATGATATATGAAAGCTTTAGAATTATCTTATTTAAACAAGAGAATTTCGATTTTAACTGTAAATACTCACATACTAATGATACATGTGTTTATAATTATGATTATAAATGTGCTACGTATTTGTTTAAATCACTAATACTTATAATTTCAAATACTTACAAACTGTTATAGTATGCATACAAAATTATTTAGTGTTGAATTTTTATTGGAATTAATAAGGGCAGACTTTAAGAATACTCACCAACTAATAATATATATAATTTGTTATTTTCGAATATCTAATTTAAAATACGTAGTTACAATTCTAAATACTTACCAACTAATAATTTTATTTTGAATTGCAAAAGGTTGTATTTATAAATTAATTAAAGTTATTTAAAAAAAGGTTTGTGATTTAATATACTTACCAGCTGTAAATTTATATGAAATATGAAATGTTTAGAATTATATTGATTTTTTAAATTATTAAAGTAAATTTATTAAATTTGATTTAATAATCCTGACTTAAATACTCACCAGCTAGAAGTTTGTATAAACATATAGATTGTTTAGAGTAACTCATATTCGGATTAAATTTTAAGATGTTGATTGCTTTAAATACTCACGTTCTAATTATATATTTTTTATGTTATTAATTTCTTAATGAATTTTTATTTAAAAGGTATTTATGAATTTACCTCCTAATAATACGTATGTAGGTGTTTAGCGTTTGTTTATATTTACGAAAAGTTTTGGTTTTAAAAATGTTTACTCACATCCTAATAGAGCGTGCATACCAATGTGAATTTCTTAATTTTTGTTTTTGAATTAATACGAAGTTTATATCTAGAATACTTACTTCCTAATAATATAGTTCATACACATATAGATTATATTAATTTTTATAAGTTGAAGAAAATGTCAATTTCAAAATGTCGAAAATTTAAGTACTCACTCTCTAATGTATTCGGATTGTTTAAAGTTATTGTTTTTGAATTAAGTAATTTAAATTTAAAAACGGTATAATTCTAAATATTCACCTCCTAAAATATGTTTAGAGTTGCGTATTTAGTTAATAATAGTTTAGTTTAAACATTTTTATAGTTTAAAATCGGGTTACTCACATCCTAATAAATTGTTCAACGCATTTGTGAATTATTTGAAATTGCTTGTTGCATAATAATAGTTTTAAACACTTACAGCCTAATAAGATGTATATGGATGATATTAGAATTTGTGAAATAATAATTTTGATTTTAGAAATGTTTATAAGTAGCTCTATTACTAACCCGCTAATTATATAATTGTATTTATTGAATTATTTGTAGTTGTTAATTTTTTTTAAATGATAAAACTATGCAGAAACAGAGATATCTTAACATTCAGTAACTGTATAGTAATCATAGTTACTACGTAGGTTACTGTGCATTATGATATACAGGTTTCTGTCCAAAACTTTAAAATTTTACAATTTAAAATACTGACTCCCTAATTAATTATGCAAATAACAAATTTTTGTTTTTGAGTTATTTTTTTTTTAGGACAAAAAAATTTGACTTTAAATATTTGGATTCTAAATACTCTACCAGCTATTTAATTTAGATGTATGTATGTAGCTTTTATTAGTGATGTTTTTAAAAATTTTAAATTATATAGATGATTTTAAGTACTTACTAACTGTTAACATATAGTTGAATTGTTATAATGATGTTTCTTGAATTAATGAGAGCTTTAATTTTAAAAGATTTCTTGTTGAATACTCACGTCCTTAAAGTATAATATGTGAATTGTGTGTTATTGATCTTTGAATTAATTAATTTTAAAACTAAAATTGATTATTTCAAATGCTCACCCACTACCAATAGAGTACATATAGTTATTTGTTGTGTAATTTGTAATTTTAAAAAATGTTATAATTAAGTACTCACAAACTGGTAATATAACATGTAAGTTATTTATTCTTAGTGAATGTGAAGGATGTTTTCAAATGTGTATAGACTAATACTTACTGACTGATAATTTGATGTATATATTTAATTTAAATATGTTAAAAAATTTCAGCTTTAAAAATTTTTTTGTTCTAAATACTTACTCTCTAATATAGCGAATAAGCACGTAAGTCTTTTAGTTATTGTTAATTAAAAAGAATTTTGATTTAAAAAAAAATGGTTATGGCATTGAAACTTACGAACTAATAATTTAAATATGGGTATTTAGATTAGTTTGGTTTTTGAATTAGAGAATATTACATTAAATTATTATGTAGTGACATTGAATACTCACGCCCTAATAATATAATATGCGTGCACATATAAATTATTTATGTTATTTTTTTCAAGAGAATTATGATTTTAAAAAATGGTTGGCTCTAAATGCTTACGTTCTAATATTACAATTGCGAAAATTATCGTGAATTTTTTATGAATCTGTAAAAAAACTTGAATTTTTGAATATTTATGAAAATACTTACTGACTGAAATTTAGATATTATATGAATGATTAAAAATAATACATTATTTGAATTAACAATGTTTATTTCTGGACGTTTGAATACTTACGGACTGAAAAGTTTGTGGATTATTTATAGAAGACATTGGAAAATTAAATTTAAAAATGTTTATGACTTTGAATACTCACGGTCTAATAATTTGATGTAAATTCGTTATTTCGGATTTAAACAAAAAAATTTAAACTGTTTACGATTTTAAATACGATTCTAAATACTAACGGACTAATATGTTCATATATGTATTATTAATTTTTTTTGAATTAAAGAAAAATTTATAGTTTAAAATATATGTCAATCTAAATACTCACGTGCTGGTAAATTTATATAAATGAATATGGATTGTTAGAGTTACTTTATTTACTTTGAATTAAAATGAATTTAGTTATTATTCTAAATATAGTACTTACTGACTGGAAGATTCGTTTATGCGTATGATTTGTTTAGAATTATTTTATTGTATATTTGCAAAATTTTAATGTCTGAAGACTTACGTCCTAATTAGTATCATTAAAAAAGTGAATTATTTAGAATTGCGTTTATTATTTCTTTTGAATTAATTTAAATATTTTTTTTAAATACTCACCAACTACTGAATTCGTATAGTGCATACATCCGTATGGATTAATTAGAGCATTTCAATTAATAAATTGTTAATTATCTAATTTAATTTTTATGGTTCAAATACTTACGTGCTGGTAAATTGATAGAATTATTATTTTTGTATAATTCATTTTAAATTACTAAACAATTGATTTTACGGTTCTATACTCACTCCCTAATGCAAGTAATTTGATTAACCAAATTTGTTAAAGTAATAAATATTTATGACATAAAGCACTTACGATCTAATAAAATCATAAATTAGCATGTAAATTATTTCACATATTTATGATCTAAAAAGGCTTAATTTTATCATTCTAACCTTTCATCTGATGTTAAAAACATCGCTGTTGAATTGGGTGTTAATGGCGTTAAAGGTGTTTTGGGAATAGACTCTTGATACGGTTCTTGATACGGTTCATGATACGTTATCGTGACGTCATCGGTGACTTGAATTATTTGTTCGCCAAATGTTACTAATTCAACGACTTGATCAGATGCGAACGTTGGCTGTTCCATTTTCTATATTAACTTGAAAAAAGCTTTCTAGAGAATGACTTGGTTAAAATTGAACCTATTCTATAAAATTGCAAAAATAGTGCTTCAATTTCAATACATATAAAAGAATTCGTATATATACGAATGAACATTTGATGTTATACAAAATGGTACGATATATGTACATCCAAATTTACTTATGGTTAATCATAAGCGTATAGTACGCCCAAAATACAAATAGTATTACTGGAAATAAAACAGATGTAAAACACATGTCAACATAAGTTCCAATTATAAAGCTTCTTGAGAAGCACTAAATTTTAGATTTATTTGTTTTTTAAACAATATATTAACGTTTTATATTAAGACGTATTCGTAAGTTATTTTGAAGAAATTTTTATATGCACTTCACTTTTGCGGATACTTGCATAAGATGCATCGCATAAAATGCATCTTGCAGCATCAGAATTTTTATGCATCATAATCACAATTTTTTCCTTTTCGATATCGATCATTAGAAACTTGTAGCTTTATTTTCTATAAAATTATTAAATTTTTCAAATAAATTTGTATTTTTTTTTCTTTTATAAAATTTCCATATTTGTATGTTCTTTGTAAATTTTGATTTGTACCAAAAAATATCCAAAACAAGAAATCAATATGGGGATTGTGTACGATTACAAAACTAAATAGGAAGCGACCAAATAGAAATGTAATTTGTGTCTTGAAAATCAAATCACAAAGATCTTTTGAGTATCATAATGCCAATAATGATAATTTTGATCTGTGAAATATAAATATAACATGTAATTTAAATTTGATCGTGTATTATCGTTATATATCACTGATCGAACTTTTTTATAAACATGATTCGAAAGATTTTCTTAATATACAGTATACCATCTAATTTGTTTATACTACATTATTGTGTTTAAATCTTTAAGGTCTAGATATTTATTAATTTCAGATTTGAGTCATCAAAGAAATTTTGTATCCAGACGACAATTATTACATTTAAAATTACTGAATTAATTAAACTGCAAATAAATAAATAAATAAACGAAGACAATTTATTTTTGTATCACTTTCATTAAGCACCATAGGATTTACTCGATGTCCTACATTTCTTTATCTCTGTTGCTTTGTGCTCTATTTATATCGTTACAGGTGGAAACGGAATTACTAAAATCACACTAAAGTCCCCACTAATCGAACACCTTGTGTGACGATCAAAGAGATATCCAACGATTTGAGGCATCAAGACATTCTTGGCAAGACGTACAAGCAGGATACATATCTTATTATATACTCTTCTTTTATTCTTATTGTAGCCCTTATTATTTCCTAACGTAACCTTATGTTCTGCAAGGGTTCCTAAACCTTAGGTTCTGCAAGGGTTCCTAAGCCTCAGGTTCAATAATACTATGCCAGTGTCAAAGATCGATATTAAAGTACCCTATCTCCATAATAAGAAAAAAAAGCTGAAAAACTAACCAATTAAATCGGTAATCAATTCTAAAGATGGAATTCGTACAATAATATGGCTTTAAGAACAAAGATTAACTAAAGATTAATTACATAATAGATTTTAGAGCGACCATATGTTCGAATAAGTGACGCCATCAAATTTATGAAGCTTTTACATCATGATCATTTTAGCAGAGCCTTCGAATGTAATTTATCAAGTAATCAAAGAAATAAGTTTTTAAATTAATTTCTCCTTTTTATGAAGATAATAAAATTAGAGTAGTTTGTTATGAATTAAAATTTTGTTAACAGATTATAAAATTATCATAAAAATAGTGATACTACGCCGTTTAACTTGATTTGAAAATCGTTATTAAACTGCCAGAACTAGTTCGTTTATTTAATACGGTTTAAACGGTTCAGCATTCTTCACTAAGATATATAAAAAAAATTTTCTTGGCCAAAGTAATATTTTATATCATCACATTTATTTATACTTGCAAGATAAATATTTCGTACACTTCTACTATAAAAGCGCAAAATGTCTTCATATTACTAAAATGCTATGTTGGCCTAAATCCATACAACGTTCTACCGCGTTTTTTCAGCGCTAATAGCATTTCCATTACAGTAATAGTTTTTTTGTCTTTGTATTCAACATATGTAATAACGTCTTTTAAGACTTCTTTCAGAAAATGTTTTAATGCATTCCTAGCCTCCTCGTAGATTCCAGCAGATGCCCGTTTTACACCTCCACGACGGGCTAGTCTTCGAAGGGCAGGCTTCGTTATGCCCTTTATATTCTCACGAAGGACTTTCTAAATTGAGTATTATCGTCATGAATGAAATTATTATTATTATTTTGATAGCAGTGATATTATAAAAAAAGCTTACTCTGTGCCTCTTTTCTTTTCCTTTTCCTAGCCCTTTACCTTTGCCTGGACCTGCTTTACCACGGCCTAAAGCAGGTGTGTTTTTTTCAATCATGATGGTATTATAAGCTTTTTATTTTGAAATAAGTATCTGATCGTATAGATCAAAGGTACAATTAACGAAGCTTTCAACTATTAAATACTTTATGCCATCTGATTATATTTTATTCAATGATTAAAGATGTAATAAGATATAATGATTGTAACTCTGTTATTGCATTAAATAATTTGGTAGCGTTATTTTTTATTTTTTTCTTTTTTTTTAGTGACGATACCTGACTTATTACGGTTTTTATCATTAAAAAGTGATGAGAAACTCATATTTACTATGCTAAACCTTTTTTTTCATCAAAATAAATATAATGATATCATGATATATTGCATGTTAATCAGGATGTCGAATAATTGATTGAAATTAAATTATACTACAATTAAAGTCAGCTATAATTATGATAGAAAAAAAAAAACAATTGTGAAAAAGCTAATCGTAAATATTTGCTTGCGTTTTTAAAATTATATACGATAAACTTATTTTTTAAACTACATCAAGATCAATAAATATATTCATACAATTAATTGTTTAATTGTAGCTGCGCCACCAGAGATCCAACATGCTATATTCAGATATTCGGTTAAACCATTTGGATAGCCGATTTAAAAAAGATGAATAATCCGATGTATTAGAGATTAAAGAGTTCTAAAATAATAAACAATATAAATTAGAAAATCCTATTTTCACTTGAATATAAACAGTATTGCTTTAATATTATTGATTAATTTAAAACTTGTCAAATGAATTTATATTGTTGATTACCTTAAAGTTTTAATCATCAAATGAATTTATATTGTTGATTATTTTAGAATTTTAGATCATCAAATGAATTTATATTGTTAATTACTTTAGAACTTTTAATTGTCAAATAAATCGGAATAATTTATTGAATAATTCGTTTATTCATTTATTAAGGATAGCGACAAATATTACGTAATATTTTGAGGGGGAGAGGTCTCTTGATATCTTATATATCTTATGGTATATATATACTGTAAATTTATAGCAATCAATTAAATTTCTCTTACGTGAGAGAGGGTATGATAAAAAGATATTACGTTTGCCAATTATTCATATTGGATATCCAATAGATAAATTATTAGATGATTAATAGATTGAACACTATTTAGAACTTGTAAATGTTAAATGAATCATATTGTTGATTACTTTAGAACTTTTAATTGTCAAATTAATTCGAAAATCTATTGAATAATTTTTCATTAATCTATTTTATCTAATTATCCATCAAATATTGGATACTCAATAGATAATTGGACGTGTAATTCATAAATTGGAACTCTACACGCCACAAATCAATTAATTGATTTAAAATTTTGCAATTAACTGCCTCCACGACTAATTATTCATATTAATCACGTGTCACAACAAATTTTTTAAAATATAATATTTTTAATTAACATTAATAAAAGTAGACAAGGTTACGTAACGCTGCACAGTGGTCCTAATGAATCGACCTAAAACGGAACCGGTTATAATAAATTTACTTATAGGTCAATGCCTACTATAAAGTGTTGAGCAATAGATCTCCTATGAGTTGTATATACGAATTGAGACTGCCAAAAATTTTCTAATTATTTAACTATTTAATTAAACCAGCATTAAAATAATTCTGACCCACAACCAACATAATTTGTCCAGGAACTATAACTTCTTAGTGGTTTACCCTGAAACGTTTTGAAGCGTAAAGCTTGATTTATATCGAATAGTATACTGTACATTACTATTCTTAAAACCTAATCTTTTTATATTTTAGGAAATAGAAAATTGTCGAGGATAAATGAAAATACGTTCCATATACGTACATCATTAGTCCTTCTAAATACCCGAATGCATCAGATACTACTTCACAGTATATAATAAAATTATTATAACCAAGTCTAGTTTTATTGATACTCTAGTTTACTTAGCAGATCGATAACCTACAGGAATATTTTTCATAAATATTTGCATTCTCGATTTGAATAAATGTGATCAAAAAGATACTAATGTTTTTATAACAAGTTCTTATCTTTTAGAAATGCACAAAAAAAAGTACTACAAAATAATAAAGAAGATAACAAAGTTCAATCTCTATCGAAAAAAAGGTCCAACTTCGAGTTTCATGCACAATATATTATTTTACTCATATTTACACAATAAAACGATGATCAAAATAATAAAAGGAAGAAATTAAAATAAAACAAATTATTGGCCATACAAACATTTAAAACCACAACATAAAACTTCCATTCATTACTTGTTTTGGCTTGGTTTTTTCTGTATAACAAATAATATGAGTAATATCACCAAATAAAATCCAAAAATCTTGTGGCGTATACATGTATTACCGATCAGTCGAAATTATGAATTTTGCGTTTTGGATTTTGATTTTTAATCATAATAATAATTCAAAATTCTAAAATTCAATTGTTGATTTACTAATTATACATATTGTTGGTTCGGAAATGGGTAACTCTCGTGTAACCTACAACGGCTAAATCGAAATAGACGTATTAGATTTGGCTAGTGGGTTCTTGTCTGTAGGTAAGTACTGGCCTCCACTTGAGCCTCTCCCTAAATCTTTGTCTTCTTTTATGCCTCAACCCAGGATTACACTACGCCGAATCTGGTTTGGAACTTTTCTTTGTGATGTAACTTACGTTACTGGTCTTCTGATCACGCGTCGAAAGCGAGCGATCAATTGCGGTTTTAGTTGTTCTTGGGCGAACGGGTAGTCACTAGTTAAAAAATTATATTTTAACTAAATAATAACCAGAAATATATAGTACGAATATTAACTTATTTACTGTATATTTACTAGATAATATATGTATTTAAGCATATTAACTAAAAATATGATTAAATATAAAAATAATTTAATATTTATGCTGTACATTTTTGGTTATTATTTAGTTAAAATATAATTTTTTTTTACCAGTGAGTGTTAGTAATGTGATTAACGATATATACAGTATTTAATGGAATAGAACTTGTACTTTATTAGGTAGTGATGGGCAATGCGCATGAAATTATAAAATCATGCGCATGATTTTTATATATACTTATAATGCTGGCAAAGCAATATAATACTGGTGGATTATCTAATTACTATGCATGGATTTATTAAACTTTATTCATCATGAAGACGTGTGAGCCGGAATTTTTAATAGATTTAGAAATATTCCGAAAATTCCCACGTGCGCATGAAATGCGAAAACATTGGAGTTTGCACATCACTAATTATAGGTCGAGTATTTGGTATTATTTTTGCAATTGAAATCACTTGGGAGTATGTTTATCTTTCCCCTGGGGCGAGAATGCCCTTTATTCATAATAAAAGATTTCTTCACAATTGAGTTCAACATGTTCTATATTATCTATTTATATTGTATCATCTGTATAGCCCTTATTAATATTCCATAAAATAAGAAAAGATTAATGCCTCATATCACATTGATATACCCGAGTAAGTAATAGAAGTAAGAAAGGTAAATTTTCTTTTACTTTTTATGTGACCAATTTCTCGACAGTCAGTCACGTGTCAACCGTGATAGCGTTAGAACAATTTCGAGGCTACAATATATATTATGAAAATTCAAATTGACTTATTCATTCATTCATGTTCATTTTCATACTATTGTAAGTTAGAATAGTTTATTGTATTTTTTGTATATCTTATGAGGTTGGAATTAGGTTAATTTGAAATTTCTTAAAATTTATTCAATTTTCTTCTCTCGATAATGTTTTAAAATACTTTCTTTTGTAACAGATCCTTTTGAATAGCTTCTCTTTTTTTTTGCTGCTATATTTTAAATTATCAAAACTGTGTATTTTTTCACTTCAGGTGATCAGCCTTATTATTGAATAAATTAAATCACATCAATACAAAAAAGTAAAATTATAAAGTAACTAGATCTATAATAGCGCAGGTGAGTAATTTGGCATTAACCCTAGCTGCCGCAACAAAATTGTCCAGGCAGATTCTCGATTTTGATTAGTTAAGAGTGACGATCAAAAATTTTGGCTGGAATTACTCAAAATTTGACTAATGAAATTACAGCCGCCCATTAAGTGAAAATCGTTCCACGGCTAATTTTACTATTGCGCAGGCCTATTTCTTTTTGAAGTCTATTTTTCGAATAAAAAATCAATTCTAGCCAGTAATTAGTTAATAATTATGTAATGCGGGCAGTGATTGGCAAATCGCAGTTTTTTAAAAAACCCGCTCGGGATTCGCGGAATATAGTTAAGTTTTTTAATTTTCATGAATTTTAAAAATATACATAAAGATGATCACTAGAAATATAATTTCTTGTTAAAATAATATATTTTAAATACATTTAGCCCTCCTTTGTTTATAATCTGGGTCTGGTCCAATTTTTTTCAAAATGATGCCAAATCGGTTTATTAATACCCATGTTATAATAAAGAATGACTTAATAATGGTTATATTTATTATAACAAGGAATAGTAAGTAAGAACTACCAACGGCAAAAAAAATT